TCCTGTAAAAGATGGTCTTCAAATGGATATGATTTAAACAGATTTGACAAAAGCTTTTGATTGAGTTGTCCACAATATTTTAAATGGTTAATTGCATGCTCTAGGAATGAAAGGACAGACTATGAATTGGCTGATTTCTTAGTTCATGTTTGTTGTTTTTAAATTTAAAATGTAATTTCTGGTGAATATGCAGCGATATTAGGGATCGCTCAGAGATCACATTTGGGTCAATTGTTATTTAGCAATTACATCAATAATTACATTAATTACGTTGTGGAATTTAGACAGTTTAAACTAATAATTTTTTTTACATGGTTTAAATATTAATCCTCTAAAATGTAATATCTTTTTTATGAGGAAATTAACGGTAACTTAATTTATAATATCTTTGAGTTATATGGAAATCGTATTAGTAAAGTTGACAGTGTAAAAGATTTTGGAATTTTCTTTCAATCTAATCTGTATGTTTCCCAGCAAGTCAACTACGTTACTGGGAAAGCTTTTAAGAATTAACACAATACATGGAGAAACAGTTCATCGGTTTTTAGAATCTTGGAACAACTGTAACATGCAATAGTATTATGGTACTATTTTTAAGAAACCTACAAATCATGCTTACTTATTATCCCCTCGACATTCTGCACAAGTCCGCCCTTCGTAATAGAGCAACACGGAAAGTCGAAGGGCTAGCTAGGGCACCGTTTTCATGGTCGGTGCACGCGCTCTCTTTTTTATCGGCCGCCAATCCAACCGGAAAATGAACACTCCTGTGGTGACAAAAGAACATTCCATCATTTCCGTCGTGATGGTCGCCATTAGAAATGCATAAACGGGGATTCACCGGCCCTATTTTACAGACGAGACGTTTTTACGGTTATCGCCCTAAATGAATCGGAAAATTGGCATCAATCAGTTACATGCAATCTGGATATTTTTTTTTCGCTTTGGTAGGTTTTTATTTCGAAGATAAAATATTTTCAAAATTGTCTATTGGCCATTTTCGCTTAATGATATTGGTTTAGAAATAAAGAATAATAACAAGTATTAACAGAAAATCTTATAACATTTTTAGTTATGAAAATAACTGTTTAGTAATGAAAATAACTGTTATATTAACCTGGGTTGCCAGTAGGTTTTAATATTAATTTTAGATTTGACTGCATTTTTAGTTAATAAACCAAACTACAACTAAACTGGTAAATAATGTAGGATGACTAATTTTTTCAGTAAATTAATAATTAAAAATGTATCACCTACCATCTTAAATGTAAATGAGCATTTGCCATTCGTGCATTTCTTTTATCCCTTCGGGCCATAATTCGCAATAAACAAAACAAGACACTTTTTCATTTCCCAGATGAGATAAAACTCCGAGGGATTTATATCGCAGATAAAAAAGTATAATACAGTTTTAAAAACTGTTAAGAATGCGGAAAAAAGCTTGCAGTTTGCCGGGAGGGAGCCGATAATAAGCTTTTAAAAAGTTTCAACTTGATGATAGTATTTTGTTTACCCCTAGGGCGTAAGAGTTTGTCATCAGCGGATATAGAAAAGGGCAATGTTCGACTAAAGAAACTAATTAGTTAGAATATCTTTTTCATTAAGGTTGGAGTTCGCTCATATGCTAAATGTGCACGTATTGCTTCTAACGTAGCTTTCGGGAAAAGTATGCTTTCTGGAATTAATTTTAATATTGAAAACCGTTCATGAGGGGCTGTAAAGACATGTTAAGAAAAACAACAATAATGATATTAATGATTATCATTTTTGACGTTATTTTTTAATTTATTTTAATTATGGCGATAACACCAAATGTATTCACTCTTTTTTTTATAAAAATGTTCGGTTTTCTTTTTGCCTTTATTAGTGTACCTCGTGCTGGTTCAGAGAATATGGTGAATTACTTCTATTAACTACTTTTCAATTTGTTTTTTTAGCTGTGAAAAGTAAAAAATAATAACGATACTCCTTAAATTACCACCCTTACGAGTGAACTACTGAAAGTACAGATGATCGATACTGCTATTTCATTTATTGATAAGAAATACCTGGAAAACCTCATACACCAAACTGGAAAGATGTTTACATAGATAAAGGACCCCGCACTTTTTACTTTTCTATCTGTATACAGATATAAGGAAAGTATAAGAATCATGATTTTTTTCGACCTTCGGTTTTCGATGGATTTTTACGTTTTGGGGTCCCCTGAATCCGTTTTGACTATGTTCATGATGATGTCTGTGTGTGTCTGTGTGTGTCTGTGTGTGTCTGTGTGTGTCTGTGTGTGTCTGTGTGTGTCTGTGTGTGTCTGTGTGTGTCTCTGTGCGTGTCTGTGTGTGTCTGTGTGTGTATGTGTGTGTCTGTGTGTGTCTGTGTATGTCTGTCTGTGTGTGTGTGTGTGTGTGTGTGTGTGTGTGTGTGTGTATCCACCATAACTCATGAACCGATACAAAGAAAAACACCAAATTTCAAACTTAAGCTTTATTCCGGTGTCCAATGAACTGATTAGATTTTGGGCAGTGTCGGAACATCTGGGGGTACTTTATAGGTGGTCATTTTTATATTTTATGGAATATATCTGTTATTTACGTTTGGAAAAGAAAATTCTTCAAATAAAAGTTACTTCCAATATTATTTTTAGTATTTTTTGTTTTATACAAAATTTTCCTAAAATGGTCCGTATTCGATAAATTTGACAAAATGTAAAAAAATATTTTTTTGTAAAAATTATTCAAATAAAAGATGTTTGTAATATATTTCTTTATAATTTTTATTCTATACATAATTTCTCTAAAATGGACCGTATTTGAGATATTTGAGAAAATGTGTAAATTTCGAATTTTGAAGAAAACTCAAAAACGGATAAAGGAAAAAACATTAAATTTTAAATTTAAGTTTCATTTCGGCCTGACGTGAAATGATTATATTTTGGACAAAGTCGGAACATCTGGGGGGTACTTATAGGAGGCCGTTTTTATATTTTATGGAATATATCTGTTATTTATGTTTGGAGAAGAAAATTATTCAAATAAAAGTTACTTCTAATATTATTATCTATAATGTTTGCTTTATGTCAAATTTTCCTGAAATGGTCCGTATTCGAGAAATTTGACAAAATGTGCAGAATTCTGATTTTTAAGAAAATTGTTAATCTAGAAGTTGTTTGCGATATCGATTTCTATAATTTTTGTTTTAACATGATTTTTCTAAAATGGACCGTAATGGAAAAATTAGAGGAAAAGTGCTAAATTTAAATTTTTCAGTATTTTCGTTCTCAATGAATATCTATATAAAAATGTTTCGAGTTAGATGTATGTGGAAAATGTATATATTTAGTTTATCCTCTAAACATTTATAGAGGTGCTACAATAGATTGTACAAAATAACCGAAAAAAGCCTATAATAACTAGATAGGAAAGTCTTGTGTTGGACACATCACATTTTTCATGTAATTGTAATTAAATCAATTTAATTTCTATTTTTACAACATGTACTTTGTAGTTGTAATTAATTCCTTTTTTGAAAAAGGACTTTGTAATTGTAATTATTTTTAAACAACATGTAATTATCCAGCTTTGATTTATAACAGGAAATTTTTTTAATAAATTACTACTGCGAAAACTGTATAAGATTTTTTATTTAGTTTTATTTTAACTAAACTATATAATAGCGGATTTTATTTGTTACACTAGGTATAAGTTTTCTGCACTAATCGCATTTGATTTGTTCAGTGTAGCTTCAAATATTTGACACATACTTGAGTGTAGCATATACTTTTGACAAGTATGACAGTTTCAATACAGTGTCGAATGTGACACTTGTGCAACAAATAAACTCCATTATAAACGTACTAAATCTACATCAATAAAAAAAGTGGTAGACTGACATCTGTACTCTATATAAGAATCAAGAATTACTTTTTAAGTAGAATGTCTTCTGAATCATTTATTCAAGTGAGGGTTAGTAGTAGTATTTCAAAATTAAAGAAGATGTAGAATGGGATTTGATTAGTATACTACAAGTAAAATTAATTTCTCTTCAAGATTCTTTCTAGATTATTTTTGGTAGGTAGGGATTTTCTCTAAATGTTATTTTTTGGTAATTATTAGTGGTTTATGTAGTTTTGTCACACCCTGTATTACTTATAAAAATTATCCAGTGTTATATAAAAAAAATGGTCAGAAATCTTATTTTATCTATAGTAAGACATGAAATTTGTACCTCATTTCAGTAACTGATATTCCTAATTTTTTGAACACTCTGTATAATTTATTTTACAAAGTGTAAGTATATACAAGTTTAAGACGTGCCATAAGTTCCATGGAAAAAACATGAATTGCTTAAGAGTAGTAAAGATATATATGAAAATATTAATTCTGCACTCCATACTTTTGACTCCTTCTAACAACTCATCCTGTAGAGCTGTAAACTTGAGGTCCATAAGAAAGTTGCCGTTAATGACCTGAAAAATAACATACTAAAATTTGAACAAATTCTGTCAGTACCCAAAATCAATGTAAAAAGTGCGGGGTCCTTTAGGTATTCATTGCTTATTATAAATTTATATTTGTAAATAAATGGTCGTAAAATCAATTTACCTTCGATTTTAGATTGAAACGAATAATAAACTAACAAATAACAATAGAAAAGCTATAACGTTTATCCAAATGGTTATGTCAATTAATTTTTTAGGTAAATAGGAAGTTATACTATTATTCTACTCTGATAAAAGAACTCGTTCGAAATCATATTTACAAAATTTTCCAAAAAGGTATTTTTTACTATTTACAGAACTAATTCTGAAATTTGAAAAATCCAAATATTAACTAAAAATATGTCTCATTTATTAATTAAAAATTTTATCTTTGATTGACATTAAATAAGTCAATGACTTCTTTCAAATATAATCTAATCTAGTAACAGAAAACCATTTTTATGAGTGTAGGTAATATACCATTCGTAAATTTATAAATGCGAACCAACTGTTATTTTTTAATGCGTATTCATTTCTACGAAAATGTTAGTTTTTTTAATCCTTTTAATATCGTTATTTGTCTCAATATCTTCCAATTCAAGTAAGTTTGGGATCGAAATATTGGCACGTTTAAGTATTATGTAAGAATATTTAGGTAGTGGGGGTTAAATATTTCATAATTTCTAATTCTTTGAAATTGAATGTAAATATTAAATAGGTCGATTGGAATTCAGATATAAAATATTTTTTAGGTATCCCACTTTATAAGAGTGGAAAAAGCAAATTCTATTTCGTATCTACAAACTTGAAAGTGAGTGAAAAAATATAAATTAAATTCTATTTTACAAAATTTTATTAAATTAAAAAATATACAGAGTGAGCTTAAATTTCATATGTCAATATTTAAGGAGGTAGTTCTAGACTATTTCAAATGAAAATTTTATAAAAACATGTGCTCTAAATTATTCTTCTTAGGTTGCCTTCCATGATGGTGTTGTTTTTTTAAATTATCCTCTTAGTACGACAAAAAAACCTGTTAAATTGAATTAAAATATCTGAAATATTAATGAGAAACCTAGTCAAAAAATAACACCATGTATATACAAACATCGACCTATTTTTAACTCTAGAATAAATGCTGTAATTTATGATCAAACTTTCTCTTATACCCTGTATATTACTCTCGAAAAGACAATTTTGATAGGCACATCATTTGATTAAGAATACATTATATATAGAATAAATTAGAAATACTTTGATTAGGAAATTTTTGTTTAATTTGGATGTACCTAAAACCAAAATATATTTTAATTTGATATCTTTTTATACTTCAAACATTTTATTATTATTTGTTAACATAAGAAAATAGAGAAATATTTTTAGGCCAGCTTTCTGGATGCCAACGAAATATGTAATCAAATCGGTAGAAAACTTGTTTCTATTGAATCCGATGAAAGAAATAAGAAATTGTATAAATTATTGAGAAAAAATGGTAAGTGTAAATTTTTATATGAATAAACCAAAATCTTTTTTCTTTCATGATTACTAACAACGTTTTAATTAAAGAGTAGCATTGTATATTGTCCATGATCAGACATCTTTATTTGTGCCTGTTATAAGAAAGTAAGGCTAAATCTAGTCCAAAAAATCGTGGCATATTGTATTGCTGTACCCAGTGTTCCAATAGTGCAATTTCCGATTCTACACCCTAAGAAAAATTCGCATTTGATTGAACTTGAAAAGAGGTTCCTTTATCTTTCACGCAGTGTCCCGTTATATTAGATATTCTGGAATCTTGCATGTTGTAGGACCATAGCAGCAATATTTTGATTTGGTCTCCTAAGCATGATCTTACTGATTCGCAGTGCTATTATCTGTGTTTATATTTCAGTGTTCATCCTCCTACTTTCTATCAAGCAAATATTTGACTTATTCCAGACCATTCCATTTCTTTAGATACCTTTATTATGATCTAATACCCATGCTAATCTTACGTTATTTTGGCGTGCTAGTAGTTCATTAAATATTTCAAAGCAATTCCAAACTCGCTTTTACTGAATTTTGTTTGGAACCAAGGTCATTTTCGACATCAGTGTCAAAAAGTTAATTGTTAGAATCTGATTACAATAAGAATACCGCTACGTCATAACTGTTATTTAGAATTTCAAATATATATCATCTATAACTATCAATAAATAAAGAATATATGAGTTGTTTGGTTTAAAAATATGATTTCTATACATTCCTGTAATAACACGCCATTAAAATCCTAGTAGGTGGCGATAGCCAACGAATTACTCTTCTATTTGATGACGTAGCTGTGTTCTTCTTATTGTATTCGGTCCCTATATATGAGTATGTGGAAGGTTTTGCTGCTCCAAGATTAATTATATTATTTCTGCAATTTTTTATTGAACTGAAAGTTCGTCTTACTACAGCTAAGCGATTAACTCAAAATACTAATTACCAACAGTACCCAATAACCAAAATCTAACATTTCTTTTATTTAGTACTTTTAGGCGATTATTGGACATCGGGTACAAATATGTTAACGAGTCCGGGCGAATTTAAATGGCTTTCAACTAACGAGGATGCTTACTTTCCCGATTGGGAAGTAGATGAAACTCTAAAAGGACCTAACCGTTGTATTAAAATAGATGCAGTTGAGCATGAACTCAAATGGATACCAGTAAGCTGCAACGAAAAATTGCATTTTATATGTGAAAAAAATCGCAATGGTAACTAGTTTTTTTTTATGAGAAATAAGTAAACATTTTTCTTCTCAGTAGTATATACCCAATTTTGTGCACTTTAAAAGTATATTATTAAATTAAATAAAACCGTATGCAGGGTACACTTTTTAAAAAATATTTACAAATCTACTACTAAAATTCTTCAAAAATATTTAGTCTATTTATTTTTAATCTCGTTGTTAAAATAAAAAGAAACTAAATCAAAAATCAGAAAATGTAAGATATTTTTACGAAATATTTTCAAATCTATTAGTCAAATGAATTATTAATATTCAATTTAATTATGCTTCACATCCTTAAGATAACCATGTAGTATACCTACGTTACGCCGCTGACCCACATATTCAAATTTAAAATTTTATGTTACTCTCTATCGCTGCCTGTGCCTGCCTAAATTACTCATTACCAGTTGTTATGTCGCGTGATTCACATCGTTCAAACCGACCACATTCCAGCGATTATAAAAATATGGGTAAAAAAAAAACTATCGAAAACGCAAATCGTCTCAGAAATACAATAAATTGAAAAAGAAATGAAGGAATTCAGAGCACAAGTAGGAAAATAATGTTTTTCTTTTTATTTAACTGATTTTTAGCATGCAAAAGATACTACTTTATGTGTAAATTTCTACATTTAGACGACAAATAAATATACAGATGATACTACTTTTTGTTAACGGTGCAGTCATTCATAAAATCCGTCTGCAAAACGAAAAATACTACTTAATGTGCAAATTTCTCAAAACTTTGATGAGGGCAGATACTACTTTAAGTGTAAATTCTGCATTATAGACAAAGACATGTACAGAGGAGACTACTTTATGTGTTAACTCTGATCTTATACTAGTACAGGTTTGAGAATGGTTTTCTTCATAATTTCATTGATTTTTAGCTTGCAGAAGATAGTGCTTTACTGTAAATTTTTTCGAATTTAGACTACATATAAATGTGCAGAAGATATATCATTCATATAAGCCGTATGCAGAGCAAAACATACGACTTTATGTGCAAATTTCGTAAAACTTTTGTGGCGAAAGATAGTACTTTATGTGTAACTTCTACAAATAACAAATAACTGTACAGAGGAGGCTACTTTATGTGTTAACTCTGATCTTATACTTATAAAACTGCAAACTCGGCTAACTGCAACTCGAAAAATGCTACTTAACCCGTTCACTGCCAGAGGACGCTTTAAAGCGTCCGCGTTACCTGCGCATGAGTACCGCTGGCACTTTAAAGCGCCCACGACTACCTGTTGGTAAATGCGTAGTAAGTAGGACTTCGGTACTTAGGTGATTTCAAGGTTAAACTGATCGGCAGTAAACGTGTTAATGTGTAGATTTTGTAAAACTTTGATTGAGAAGATACTATTTTATGTGTAACTTATTTAAGCCAAATAAATATACAGAGAACGCTACTTTGTGTGTTAACTTTGATCTTATACTTATAAACTGCAAACTCGGCCAACTGCAACTCAAAAAATGCTACATAATGTGCAGATTTTGTAAAACTTTGATCGAGAAGATACTATTTTATGTGTAACTTATTTAAGCCAAATAAATGTACAGAGAAGGCTACTTTATGTGTTAATTTTGATCTTATACTTATAAACTGCAAACTTTGCAATTGCAACGCGAAAAATGCCTCTTAATGTGTAAAGTTTGTAAAACTTTGGTCGAGATGATACTATTTTATGTGTAAATTATTTAAGCCAAATAAATCTACAGAGAAGGCTACTTTATGTGTTCACTCTGATCTTATACTTATAAACTGCAAACTAAAATAACTGCACCGCGAAAAATGCTACTTAATGTGTAAATTTTAATGTGTAAATTCTGCATATTATTGCAAAATAAATGTACAGAGAAAGCTACTTTATGTATTAACTCTAATCTTATACTTAGCCCAGCTAACCGCACCGCGAATAATTCTACTTAATGTGTAAATTTCGCAAAACTTTGGCCACTAAAGGTAATATTTCATATGAAAATTCTGCATTATAAACAAATAAATGTACAAAGGAGGCTGCTTTATGTGTTAAATCTGATCTTATACTTATAAGATACTAGCCCGGGTAACAGCAATGCGAAAAATGCTACTTGAAAGTGTAAACTTCAAAAAACTTTGGAAGCAGAATGTAGGTACTATGTAAATTCTGCATTATACTCGTAGACAAATAAATGTCTGGTAACTCTGGTCTTATGCTTATAAACAGGGCCGCTGAGAGCCAGGCCGGGCCCCAGGACAATTCTCTAGATCGGGTCCCGTGACAAAAAAGCTCTTCAAACAAAAACTTTTCCTCTTCTACCTGAAAAAAAAAAACAGCTCGCCAACGAAAAACTTCAGTTGCCGGCCCCCCTTATACCGCTGCTGGCCCCCCATTTGAGTCAAGGCCCCGAGTGTTAGTCCCGGCTACCCCCCCTCTCTAGTCGGCCCTGCTTATAAAATGCAAGGACGAAAAAATGCTACACAAAGCTCATTGATTATATTACTATATAGGTAAATCCTGCACCTCTTAAAAAAATGCCCCTTTATATGCATATGAATTAGCCATTGATTAAATATAGATTTAAGTTGATTCAGAATCAGAATCTAAGAGATATATACATTAAACTCGTTATCTTTACCAGAACAGACGTTCGAATAGTAAGGATCAAATTCAGTATCAGGATATTCTGGGAGCGTATCCTAATAGCAACATCTCTCTCGGAAAACCAATCAACGAAGAAATGGTAAAAAGTTGGGAAAATATTTGCAAGACGGTTTGAAGAATGGCAAAATATCAAAGTTTCTTTACGAAATCAAAATCTGGAATATTTTCACTTGGGTCCCCCACCTTAAACTCCGAACCAAAAAGTTTAGTGACTAGTCACGTCATCAAATAAAACCGCCAGCTATTTATATATGCTGAAAGACCAACTTGAAAGGTGATGGAAAGTTTAGCTGAACCTCTGTAAGCTAGGCTTGGAGGGAACAGAAATAGATGCATCAAAACAAATGCAAATGTAACAAAAGTATTATCAGACATCTACCATAGAATATATACATCGTAGGCACCTTATAATATATCCGTCTTTAAACACAAATGTGAAAAATATGATAGAAAAAGCAGACATCGATAGTTTTTCATTTTAGAAAGAATCTTGTAGAAATATGAAAGTTAGACAAAGCATTTGAAAAACTAGCATACATTTAATTTAAAGGCACCAACTAAAAGCAAACAATAATTTCAATCAGTATTGAAACTTCAGGCGCCTACTTTTAAATAGCAACTGAAGAAAACCAGCCAAGAAAACGAGCAGGAGAAATATAAAACCCAAAGGACGAACCAACAGTTATTCAGAAAAACAGAAAGGAGAAAAGGAGTTATTAGGGAAGGAAATAAAGGTAAGAGAGATTGCTAATAGACTTAATAAATTTGTAAAATATGTGAGTTAACTTAACTAATGATAAGAAGGTAATAAGATATGTTAAAAGTTTTAAATTAATCTTTAAAACACAACAGAGCTTTCACCAAAGGATGTTTTCTCTTAGAGAAAAAACTAACCTACACACTTCAATTAAAAAAAAAAACTTGTACTCAAGAATGCAACAGGTGTTTGCTTGCTATAGAAAATTAGTTTGGTTCTCATATTTTTTAAGACCCAAATGAAATGATTCATCTAGATTTGTCTTTAACAAATATATAGATTCTCTCATTTCAAACTGGAAGATCTCAGGTCTGCCCAGAATATTTTGTTACAGGACAATTATTTTGTTAAAAATTAAATTAAAGGTTGCCTCTAATCTCATCTCAATACATAAACAATCAGGAAAGTAATTGAAAAAAAAAATAACTTGGGAATTTGAGTGTCTTACATTTGGTTTGACCGTTTGCTCCATATGTTTTTGCAAACACTTTAAAACCGGTAATGCATCAACTAAGTCTTTTGGAAATAACCTTAATGATTTTTTTAATTACGTCTAAATCTAGTGACGAATGTCTCAAACATTGTAATACAACGGTTGATTCTTTACAATCTCTATGACTCATCATAAAAAAAAGTGTTTTTATCTAAAGTGTACGAGAATTCGATTGTTACGTAGCTGATGCATTTCTTGTACTAAAATTAGAAAGACCAAGCAGAAGACATAGTGATTGTACCAAAATGGAAAACTCAACCATCCCATGTTACAAAAAAAAATAAATAAATAAATTCTTTTTACGGTACACGAATAAACTCGTAATAACTTTAACTCTATTGTAAATATCGTTTATTGAAAATAACTACAAACTATTTGTGTTTATGTTGACAGTCTCAAATATAGCAACTGACTGACTTATCTATGAAATATAAATCGCTAACAAATACAAAGCTAAATTAGATAAAATTAGTACAATAGAATAAAATAATGAGAGAACCATGAGTTTCGTATGTACAGCATTCTTCCTCAAGGCCATTTATAGGAGTCGACATAATTCATGTCAACATTAAACCTAGTTATTCACTGCAGCAGACCTTCATTTAGAACTCCTTATAACCAGAGTTCTGCCCTAGCTCTCATTATAAATAGTCCCTAACTTTCATTATAGAAATTATGAATAATAAAAGAAAATGTATATTAGGAAATTTCTAAAAGGGTCATCCTGTTTTGCCAAAATGTATTCAAACTTGAGACCAAAACACAGTTTTAAAATACTTCAGTAGTTTCTTTCACTTGAAAAACTTTAAATAGCTAAGAGCCAAATTTGTTATGCTTGCAGCCCAACGAGTATAGACTTTCTCAAAAATTAAAGTTGAAAATGTCAAGGTGGAAGCTAACAATATACACATTTTCATTGACCAAAGGCTAAAACTACGACTCCACAACGAGTTCAGCCTTTATTAGTATTTTCATTCTTCCACGAATTACCTCAATTTATGCTCGGCAAAAACAATTTTTATTTTATGGAGAAAAAGAAAAAAAAAGTCTCACAGGACCTTTTATTCTAACCACTAACACTCCATCCAGTATCTCCCCAAACTATTGGGTGGGCAGGGCCGCCGAGAGCCAGGTCGGGCCCCGGGACAATTCTCTACATCGGGCCCTGTGACAAAAACTCTTAAACAAAAACTTTTCGTTTTCTAAAAAAAAAGTCCTCTGCCGAAAAAAACTCCTCTAAACTAAGACTTTTCCTCCAACTTTCAATCACATCACCTCCCCTTTCTCTTGTTATGTCGAATTTCTCAGAAGAAGGAAGTTCGATCCTAATTATGCGAACATCCTTGTTAGTGGAAATAAAGTCCCATCTCCACCATATTTATATTATTTTTAACCCCAAACTCCTAGGCTCCACAACAGATAATGAGTAATTTAGGCAGGCAGCGATAGAGAATAACATAAAATTTTAAATCTGAACATATGGGTCAGCGGCGTAACATAGGTATACTACATGGTTATCTTTATTTCCACTAACAAGGATGCTCGCATAATTAGGATCGAACTTCCTTCAGGTAAGTCGTTTGATCCATTAATTTTATATCCATACACGAAAGCACGGTAATTTTAAATGAAACTAAATCCAACTTCAAAAAAAACGTTGTTTACCTTGGGTGCTTTATCGAAAGAATCAAAATTTATCAGAGCAGACTAACGGCGGTGTAGATATCTAATTTCGAAGGTACTCTAAAAGCAATTTAGAAGGTAATTTATTTTAAAAATCATTTTTCTTCACGATGAAGGCAACAGAAAACGCCACCACCGCCAGTACTCACGCGCACATCTACGTCATTGGACAGCGCAGCTGGTTAGATCCGCTATCGCTTTGGATAAACCTTTGGTGCGGCGAGTTACATGAGGCCAATTTACAAATGTCCACATATATTTATGCAGAGTTGTATATATAAGATAGCGGTTCTACGTTTTATTATTATTAACTTTTCTTTTAATATTGTATTTAAATCAATCTTTGCTTAGCTTTAAGGCAGTAAACACGCCTTTGTATTTTTTATAATAATTAATAAAAAATTTAAAAAGTCTTTTTCGGTGTTTGAAAATCTATCTGGCGCTAATTATTTATTTAATATGAAATATTAAATAAAAATGACGAATAATGACTTTGTTACAAAATACACCTAACTGTATACGTGTTGCCTAACGACAAAATGAAACGTTACTGTACCGTCAGGATCAGTCAGAGCTATTGATTGTAATAAAGCACTTTACATTGATCCTGGCGGTTCGTCGCGTTTTTACAGCAATGTTTTACATTTTTGCAACTGTGTGTGACTTACCTGCTTTTTGTTTTAGTTGAATGGAAAAAGCACGTAACGTTTGAACGTGAGTTTTAATTTTTTTATTACTTTTCTATAATAATTTCATCCAAAAATAATTTTAAAATGTGTAGTATAACGCTGTCTACCGTTCTGTGAAAATATTTTTTTTATATCTCTAATAATGGCGGAGATATTGAACTTTTTCACATTAATAGATCATCCTGTATATAAATGGTGCCAAATCAAAGAGACAAAAACCTAACTGAGCTTAGATAAACATGCGACAGTATTCCAGGCAAAAATAGCAGCAATACATCACTTTGCAAAAGACATAAAGTAAATGGAAAAACCATTGTCATAGACATGCAAACGATGTCACCTCCATACAGGTACACTAAAAGTTTGTGTGGGACTGTTTAGAACCCCTTACAGAGCTGGTTTGTCAAAATAGGCTAACAGCCTGGGTTCTAGACTATAGAGAACATAACGGCAATTAAGAAACTAATTCACTAGCTCGAGAAGGAGCCTCAAGGCTTTTATTGGCTTAGAATCTTTTTGTGGTGTCACAAAGACAGAACATACATGTTAAATATATCTCTGAAATAGTAAAACAATTTATCAGGGAAAAGACAGGCTAGAGACTTCTTAAATGGGCCATCGCCAAAACTTTTTAAGCATTAACTAAGTCAGAATGGGAAAAATACTAGAGGAGCAGTGGGCATATTAACAGAAAATTGTAGGCTTATCAAACATGTACTTGTATAATACTATCCTGGATTGTTTGTAGACGGGCCCTTGTGCCTTGTAGACGCTACAGCGAAGGTCTATCAAGACTTAGATGTCTTACATTCGAAGAAGAAAAATTTATGATATCTCTAACCTAACCTAAAGTCCCTCGTGACCCACCTTATGTAGTAATTATAATTTAACCAATGTAACAAACATTTTAGATTGGAAAGGAGCTTTCAATGATCCAATTAATAACTACTATAATATGCCGAATTACATCATATATGACCATATGATTTATCCAGTCTTTACTATACAGTTGGTAAGTATTTTCAATATAGGCTTTCCTCCATCACATATTTATTTAGATTGTAAACGAATCTATGTCTAGATCTAATCAAATAAGGAATTTTTGTTTCTTGTTCCTCATAAGTTTTTTTTCAATTTTAGTCATTTCACGAAGCACTGTCATTCTGTCATTCAGTTGGTATGGATTTAGTGAGTATTCCATCATTGGAAGAGAACGATGAAATTCACAATATGATATCAAGATTAACCGGTAAAAAACAATTTAATTATTACACATTTATATTAGCTAGGTACTTTTCCAATTTTCAGGTGTTACCTCTCTTTTATTTGCTTGTCCCAAAATCCATATTATCCATTGTTGTGTTTCCCATTTTATCATTTCTATTGATATTCCGTCTCTTTCTCCCGCCGTTCCAATTTTAATTATTACTCTTTCTGCTAATACTATTTTTTAGACACTCAAAATATGTTGTTTTGGTCTGGAGGATCAAAAGTTATCGACCGTAATACTTGGAGTTGGGTGAAAGATGGAACGCTTGTGAATCTCTTAAATTGGTTACCGGAAAAAGCGACAGATAGTAATAAAAATTGTATTTCGTTAATATATACGAAAGATCATGGGCTGGCCTGGAACGCCGAAGATTGCACAGTAAGAATGAATTTTCTTTGTTCCATTGAATATGCACCAGACGAAACTGATGTAGAAGATTATGAAGAGGAAAAATTAGAAGCGCAATACGATAATGACTTTTTATGATATTATCGATTTTGTTTTCATGATTATTAAAACCAAGTAGTTTCTATATACGTGCATGGTAATAATAAAATTATTTCCTATCCAATTACAATGGTTTTATTTATCAAATTATCCATATTACTTCTTTGGTAAGTGATCGCCATAATAACGATAAATAATTTTGACATTTCAGAAATAAAAATCGCCATTTTTGTAGTTATATAATTATTTTTTTTAAAGGAATATAAAGATTTCTTAAGGAATTGTTTCTGATATGCTTGAAGAAGCTGCTAATTACTGACAAGTTACTGCCCTCAAAATCTATGGCAAGGTATGAAATAGTATAGTAAAAGTTTATAAACTCATTTTGTGACACTAGTGTGAACTTAGCACACCAAATTTGGCAGCTAAAATGGCGAAGGTACCCGAATGAACAGTGGCGTCGGTCTTAGCCTAATAAATTTTATTAAATAAATATTACGGTAATTATTAAATAAACAGTAGAAGCAAGAACATTTTAAACAATTATAAATGATAATATAGATAATAAACTAGATATAAGAAAATTTGTTATCAAGAGAATTTTAAACAATAGTCTTTTTAAATTTTTTTATATATCATGGACAACAAACAATCTAAAATAACTCCAAACCAAGACATACTGTTAAGTTGATATTTTAATACAATTTAATCTATTCATAAGCCTCATTAATAAAGTTACTGTCAATGTATCGCAAACCGTCAAAGAGAAGAAAACATTAAAAATGTAAAAAAACCCTTTCAAATTATAACGTCTGTCAAAAAACTATATACAGGGTGTTCCATCTCAGACGAGCCATCCCGTATATTTCTTATCCCATAGTAATTGGAAAAATTTCCCGAAACACGTCGGATGATTTTCTTTGGGGGACATCTTTTGACGTATATTTGAGGCTTGAACGAGCAACCCCCTATGAGGGGGCGCTTTAACCCCTCAAAATTAAACAAAGAGTCCTTAAATAAATCTACACACTTTTAATATTAAATTAAATTGCTAATATATACTTACTAATTACATCAAATCAAACTGTTTATCTTCTCAAAAATAACTTGCCCATCTTTAGAACTTTCATAATTCATAAAATAGGTTTTATTTTATCATATTTGGCCTTCCGCCATCACGGTTTTTCATTTTTTACGAGGTTGTCAAATCCTTTTAAAAATCACAGCAATATTATGGACATTGTATGAATGGTATGGTGCGCATGTAGATTAATAAAAAATTAAAATAAGATGAATTTGAAATAAAAAAACCGGCAACATCGCTTTCATACTATTGCGATGGTGGCGCTAACTAATTGTATGCTGGGAACTACAACGTGTTGACAGTGGCGTGCATTTAAAAAATTCATCTAGTTTTATTAATTTATCTATGTTGTGTCTCTGACTTCCGAATAATAAGTATCACATTGCAACATGTATATACCAGCAGGGTTGCCAACCGGTCTTTACCACATTACTTTCAAAAACTTTTTCGGATTATTCATAATTACTCACAACTTCAAAATATCAATATTACTAGGTTTTTTTTATATAAATTGTATATTATGTACTCGTACACTTTTGTTTGATTTTATTTTAGTACTGTGCAAAGTTGTCAAACATCCTAAAATAAATTTCCAAAACATACAATACTCAAAACAAATCAACCTCTTTTCTGTGCATTCACCATTTTAGTAACCAAGTAAAACATATAAAAAAATATCTTTGTAATCAGCTTGACAATGACTTAACAAAAAAACACAGACAAAAAGGATTGAAGAATTAGAGTATCTTCTTTAATAATGGACAAAAACATAATAAAGTATTAATTCTAATACCTGAAAAAAAGGTACTAATAAAAAATATGCTTTTAAAATGAAAAAAAAAAAAAAAAAGATATTAATCGACGATTGGGACAGTCCCAATGGGACTATCAATGCAATATTAAAATTACATTTACTCTATTATATTGGCCAAGCAATAGAGTACGCTGCAATTTTAAAACATCAAAATTGTAATGACTGCTACAAGTGCTAGGAGGCGTAAAATTAGGCTTATATTAAAATTTTTGAAAATTACACGATCTTAATAAATTATCCGATCAGAATTTTGCCTAAGTACCAAGAATATACCTACGCTGACTTCCCAATTACTCACAATTGCTCTTTACTTACAAAATTACTCACAGATTAGTAAATTACTTATAAATGTGAGGAATTACTCACAAATTGACAACCCTGTGTACCAATCATATATCTACCGTACCAGTGCAGTGATTGCATTTTAAAATAAGTTTCAGCTGGCAACACCGTGCAGTGAATTTGTACTCGCTAATATTTTGTGAAGTACATAGGTTTTTGATTCGAATTGTTTAATTCTTGTTCTGAAACTTAAATGTTTTGAATCGAATCCTTTTATAACATTGAATCAAGTACGCGTTAGTCGATTTTAAGAGCATATCATACTTACAATAAACGTAAGAGCTTTCTTGCATTAATCAACAACTCTAGACTCGAATGAAATAATTTATTCCCAAATTAATTAGTATAAATCTTAAAATACAAGATTATGCCTACACTTCACTCAATATTTATTTTCTTATTGTATCGAGAAATATTTAAAGTAAACTCTGCTTTATTTCAAACAAATGTAATTTTCCAAGTGTAAAGCTTTTCTTGAATGTAGATAATTTTTTTTCTATGTGGTACTGTCAGTTCATCACAAGCCGTCCAAGAGTAAGAAAATATTAAAATTTAAAAAAACACTATAAAAATGAAATGTCTGTCAAAAAACTATGTACAATAACTCCATAATTAGACATACTATAAAGTTCATATTTTAAGAAGAATAAGTTTATACATATACATATTTAATGGTGGTACTATCAATTCATCACAAACCGTCACTATCTACAATAACTTCATAACTAGACATACTATCAAATTCATATTTTGACAAGAATAAGTTTATAGATATCCATATGTAATAGTGATGCTGTCAATTCATCACAAGTCGTCAAAGAATAAGATAATATTTAAAGTATAAAAAAACTAAAAATCAAACGTCTGTCAACAAACTGTGTACAATAACTTCATAACTAGATATACTAGCAAGTTCATATTAAAAAAAAAAAAATAAGCTTATACATATCCATACGTAATATTGGTACTGCCAATTCATCGTAAGCCGCCAAAGAGTAATAAAATTTACTGTACCACTAATTTTTTTTTTATTTTGTGTCGTCGGCATCGACTACTAAGGACATTAGCCTCGTGTTCTATGTAGGCTTTGTTACTGTTTCCCAGCGCCACTTTAGGAACAGCACTGTTAATTGTAACCCAAAAGTGAATGGTCGAGTGGCAGTATCACTATTACATATGGATATGTATAAAAATATTCTTTTTAAAATATGAACTTAATATTGAGTTATTGTAGATAGTTTATTGCTAGACTTTTTATTTTTGCAGTTTTTTATATTCTTTTAATTTTTTCCTACTCTCTGACTGTTTGCGATGAATTGACAGTACCACTATTACATATGGATATGTATAGAGATAAGTGTCACGTCGTGGCTTATCAGGGTAGTTTTTTAGGGGTTTGGGTAGCTCAGATTTTATCTGATGACACCACGACGAGCTCTAGCTCGCTACGCCATATTCCTGGTAGCTCGAACTTCTCCAAGGTTTGGATAAAGTCCGGTCGACCCAAAATACAACTTGGTGAGGAGTACTTATTAATTTAATTTAACTGTTACTTTAACTATAGTTCTGCTTGTTCTTTTTCGAAATCATCTGATCCTAAGAGAAATATTGGCATGTAATTAGATTCTTCTATATCCTTATCCTGAGGTTTTAATACTGGATTTCTTGACAGACAGTCCGCATCCTTATTTGAACTCCCGCTTTTGTGCTTAATTACATAATCGAATTCGGACAGTTTAATGTTCCATCTATCGAGTCTGCCTATAGGGTCCTTTAAGGACCGTAGCCAACATAAAACGTGATGATCTGTCATTATGGCTATTGGCTTGCCATAGACGAGGTGTCTTAGGTTACCAAGTGCCCAAATTACCGCTAGTCTTTCAAGTTCTGTTATACTATAATTTTGTTCAGCTTTTGAAAGACTCCGTCTCACGGGGTGTTTTTGTTTGTCTTGCCCCTCTTGTAGCAAGATTGCTCCAATGTCTATTGTTGAGGCATCTACCCTGAGTTCACACTCCGCATTAAGGTTATAGTGTTGTAACACAGGTGCTGTTAACAGTTTTTCTTTAAGGGTTTCGAAAGCGTTTTGTTGAAGTTCTCCCCAAGAAAAGGTAACATCCTTCTTTGTGAGTAAATGTAATGGTCTTGCAATCACTGAAAAATTTTCTATACATTTTCTGTAGTAATTGCATAGTCCTACAAAACTTTAAACTTGTTTCACAGTTTTAGGAGTTGGGGATCCTTTTATAGCTACTAATTTAGTAGCATCAACTGTCAGTCCATTTTCATTGACTATATACCCCAGAACGTTTATATTGGTTTGAGCAAATATACATTTGCTTGGTTTCAGGGTTAAGTTGACTTCTGGTAGCCTTTTAAAAACCTTTATTAGTTTTTCCAAGTGTTCTTCTTTGGTTTTGGAAAAAATATTCATCTAGATATATGAATATTTATTTCCATTTCATACCTTGAAATACCTGATCTGCGAGGGACTGGAAGGTCGCTGGTGCACAAGTTAACACGAAAGGGAGAAAGTTACATTCGTATTAACCATGCCCTTGAGCCATAAATGATGTGTACTTTTTTGAAGACTCTTCTATAGGTATTTGCCAGGAGCCACTAAACATATCTAAGGTGCTAACCTATTTAGCTCCGTTTAAATATGTTAATATATCGTCTATCTGGGGTAGGGTGATTCATTTCCCCCAAAGTTTTTTTTTTCGGTGCTCAAGCAAAATATTAATCTACATAAAGAAAAAAAAAACTCTCACCAAGATTGAGCTCTTAATATCAATTTTAAGTACTTACTATTTAAATTTAAAGTTTTACCATTTAAAATGCATGTAAAAAAAAATTTATTTTTTAAATTTTTAATGCTTA